GTCAAAATTCATATACACATTACACCATGTGACGTATATTTTTTTTTTTAAATCCAACATTACCCTTCATCGTCTTCTTCCTTTAAGTATCCACAAACCGAGCTCTTCACAATGGTGAATCGGATGAGATGACGACGATATTACACCCTCGGGGGAAGATGACGAATGAAAAAGGGTAAAATACAATTAAGAACCTAAATGCCAATGAGACCCAAGGTTGGAACTTGGAAGAAGAAGTTTGTTTCTGGTCTATCAATTAAGTGGTAACATGTGAACCAATCAAACAACCGGTATTTGCTACCAGCCTCCTACCACCATTAATTGGCCCACCACTCTAAGAGGAGGAGGAGGAGTAATGCTAAGTTCATTTCTACACCTAAAAACCCCTCTACCACCATTAATATGCCCACAGCTCCAGGAGGAGAAGGAAGATGATGTAGTACGGGATTCAGACCAACTAGGTAAACATTTACAAAGTTGGCTTTCGAAGACCCATCTTAGTACATATAGGGAGAGGATGATGTAGTACAAGAGAAGGCCAATAATTTCTATGCAAGTTGGGACCATTCCAAAACACATAAGAAGCATAGATGACGCCATCGACCCAGCTTAGTAAAATATTTACCGATATAGCATCGTCACAGAATTTCTATGCGAGTTCATTTTTACCAAGTTAGCGTCATCACAGAGCTTCTATTTTAGTTTGTTTTTACCAAGTTAGCATTATAGTGAGATTTCAAATTTATATTCAATTAGGACTTTCCTTTTGAAGGGTTTTAATAGAATTCTATTATGGAGTGTTTTCTTAAATTAGCATTGCTCAATTAAGATTTTCTTTTTGAGGAGTTTTAGTAGGATTCTAATATGGAGTGTTTTTATATTAGGAATAGGAGTCATAAGGGTGTATGCCTATATAAAGAATAGCTAGGGGAAGGCTATATTGAATTTTCTCTTAATTATTCAGTGAAGAATTCTTCATCCTGATAGTTTGACTTCTGCTCTTTTCTTTGAACCTTCTCTAAACGTGTTTTGTTTTCGTACTACGCTAGAAGAGGAGACACACTGAGTTCATTTCTACACTTGAAAACCCCTTTGAAAACATCAGTAACAATGGGCACAGTCAAGTCCATGGGGTTATTGACCTGGAAGCAATGATTAGGGCCGTTAAGAGATTAGGATATAACAATTGTGCCATAAGCGACACGATCGTTGTGTCGGAAGCGAGATTGACCACCTATCTTTGTCAACTCCAAATCGACCACCTGGTTGTCGTACCGGAAGTGAGATCGACCACCTATCTCCGTCAACTCCAAATTGACCACTTGCTCGCCGTGCCAAAAGTGAGATCAACCACTTGTCTCTGTCAACTCCAGATCGACCACCTGCCCGCCGTGTCGGAAGCAAGATCGACCACTTGTCTTTGTCAACTCCAGATTGACCACCTACTCACTGTGCCAGAAGTGAGATCAACCACTTATCTCTGTCAACTCCAAATCGACCACCTACTTGTCGTGTCAGAAAGTGAGATGATCGTCGTGCTGGAAGAGAGATCGACCACCTACTTGCCGTGCTGGAAACGAGATTGACCACCTATCTCTGTCAGCTTTAGATTGACCACCTGCTTGTTGTGCTAGAAGCGAGATCGACCACCTGTCTCTGTCAACTCTAGAGATGATGGTTCAACAAGTGATGAGGTGATGGAGATTTGGGTTAAAGTGATGATGATAGGCATGGAACTGAGAAAGAGGTGCCGACGTTTGAGGAAAGATGGATAAAATTTAGCGGAAGGGTAAAATTAACATTTCATCATTTTTGTTAGAATTTAACAACGATAACAATTGTCATAAATAATAGGTGTGGTGTAAGACAATAGTTAAACAGTGAAGATATAGTTAGTTAATTAGCTAAACTATAGAGGGTGTTTTAGTAAAATGTAAATTATAGATAAATTTTAATATATTATAAAATTATATAGGGGTGCTTTAGTAAATAACCTTTAATTTAATTTAAATGAGTAAAGGAAAACATGGTTGTACATGTGTATAAAAAAAGGAAAAGAAAAAAAAATCCCATTTCCCGGAGAGTCTAGAGCGCATCAGCCGCTGACCACAGTTTCGAAATGGATTAACAAATGATTAACGCATTTAGTCATCTTGTTGTTATCCTCATTTATTTTCAAAATCTAATTGAATTAATAAAGAAATAAAAATTCAATTGCAACAGAACAAAGGGAGGACGTGATATATAGTAATGACAAATATGAATGCAGCAGCAAAACAGAACAAAGAAGAACCTCATGCGGTCTTGTCTCGACAGGGTCACACCTATGGCTCACGTGATGGAAGCGGGGAATGTGGTGGATCGTCGGATGAATGACACGTGGGCCTCTCTCCGAGGGGAGAATAATTGGACAGGAGAAAGGAATATTGCGGAAGTTGGAACCGAAGCGGGAGAAGACAAATACTAGCCGTTGAAACTTGGGAGGGGGGGGGGGTGGTTAATGGTTAATGGAGGCTTGGCGAGGTAGTGGCAGTGGGCCGTATCTCGTATGGGCCACTGGGCCAGGGCCAGGGCCACGCTCACAGTCTCAGGCTCTCAGCTCACTTGGAGCTTGCTCGCATGTGGGTTTGCAGAAATGCAGCGTGCAGTGTGCAGCCCCGGTGACATCGGACGACCCTTCCACGCTGACAGTTACCCGCGGCATATTCCCGCTTCACGGCACGAGACACAAACCAGTCAACCTCAACCATATTCATTCAATTCTGGATTTCTGGATTTCTTCGTGCGAGTCGCACGTTCACGGCTCGATGCTGTAGGGCTTACATACTGATACTACGTAGTACGTAGTACATATATATAGTACATAGTATAGTAGAACTCTACTTGGTCAGTTGGTCTCAAGTGTGATACTTTGATCGCAATGGTCGATTTCGATGACAGTCGGATTTTATGGTGGTAGAGTGTAACATAGTAACATGGTTCGGTAATTACGCTGGATATTCCCTGTAGCTTGCTTCTTCCGGTGCTGCTGCTGGGAAGGACGAGTTGGTGGTACTTGATAGTTCCTCTTCACGATAATCATTTGGAAACCCAAAAAAAAAAACTTAATTAATTAAAATAAAACAAAAGAAAGGAATTGTCCTTATAATTCCGTCCTAAAAGCGTGTTTAAGTTGTACAGTTAAAATCATTTTTTCTCTAAAATGTCTAACTACGAGGTTCGGTTCAGTTGGCCACTCCACCACAAAACCCCGTTCATTTATTTAACGAGGGTAAATTGGTCAACCAGAACTCAATCCGGATCTACTCCTCACAGCATATTCCAGCTACACATCTGGAACATCTCCCAATAGACGGTGGGATGTGGCTGAGTCGGTGTGAGGCGTTTTGTTAGGAGCAGATCCCAATTCGGTCAATTTAATCCTAATATTCAATTGATATCACTGCAGCTTGCCCGAATCAGCTATACCGGAAATTTTGACGGAGGTATTGATATGGAGGTCAATGGGCCGGCCGGTCGGGTTGGTGAATACCCATATTACGTGCACCATTTGTCAATTTTCATATGGACTACGCCATCATTGGACCACCTAGTCGCTCTGCTACTGATGTCGATCTCTCACTTGTAACTGGAGCCTGGAGATGCTCATGACTTCATGTTGCATTGAAAAAGGGATATTTTTTCCTTGCAACTATTCTAACCTAAGTAATTTTCAAACAAAAAAAAAATATTCTAATCTAAGTCCTCCAAATAAAAAAAAAAATTAAAATCTGAGTATTCTAGATTCAGTAAAGTAGAAATAGTAATGCATGTGTTGAAATCGAACCGGAGTAACCAAAATTGAACCGAAGCTGATCGGTTAATCGGTTGATCTGTTTGGTTTGTTGGTTTTTTTGGTTTTTTATTATTTATAATATTTATTATAGAAAAATGTATAAATATATAATAAAATATTAGAAATATATATAATATTATAATTTAAATAATAAATAATATATTATATATTATAAATCTACATATATATAATACATATTTATTAATTTATAATGTATAAAATATATATAATATAAATATACATAATATATATAAATATATGCATATCGGTCGGTTCGGTTAACCGCCTGTTTTCTATTTTGATTAATTGAAACTGAACCGATACCTTAAATATTGAACCGAAACTAAACCCACTGGTTTGGTCAACCAAATTTTTGGTTTGGTTTCTATCGATTCAATTTTTCAGTTTTTTTTGCTCATCCCTATTAAAAGAGAAGAAGTATTAGGGAAAAGTCCATGTAGGCCTACTTTTCCGGTCTAAAATTCCAATTTTGGGACACCCAACCTCAAACCTGCAATATAATACCATTATTGTATCTCTTAATATCTAATTATGATTCTAGACAACATTGTAATTGCACTTTTAAATTCTAAATAGCTAACTTAGAAAATAATACAATTTCAAAAATATAAAAATCAACATGCAACAGGCTATTTCATTTTTTAACGTAAAAAATAATTATAATTTATATATTTTTTTAGATTATACATATATTACATTCAAGGATTAAAATATCGATATGTATTGATACTGTATCAATATGGTCAATACTTTTTTTTTTTTCTAATTTTACAATAATGTAAAAGTCCCAGAGTAGATATGAGACCCTTTAATTCTTGATTACATCTAAATACACTATTTTTATTTCATATTTAAAAAAATGACTATTTTTTCTTTATAACAAAGTAACAAACTGTACACAATGTATATGATCCATGTATATATTTAATATGTTTGACGGGTCTATATTCCATTACCATTCTATAGTCATGAACTGGAATTAAATTTTAATTTTTAAAAGATGATGTTTTTGGCATATTAAAAGTTGACCGTCCCTGGAATGGAATTAAACTTCAAAGGATGGACTAAATTGTAATTTACTGGTCCCGTCGTGTTGACGTTAGCTCAGCTGAAATGCTTTCTCAAATCCTTCCCTCAAGTTCAAGTATATTCTGTTTTCTCGAATTCCAACCATTCCCGTTTCCTGCAGAACCACCATTTAATCCTTCCCCTCTTCCTTCATTCCCCGTTTATGCAAGATAAGGAAAAAAAAAATCCAGTCGCGTCTACTCTCTCTCTCTCTCTGGGTCGTCTGTGATACCTCTGCTTCCTTAAAATACACCTCTTTTCCTCTTCACCGTCTTTTTCCTTCATCGCTTCATCCAAAATCTCTCTCCTTTCTTTCACCTTTTTTCTGCATTTCTATCCGACTAAAGACTCTCTGCAACTCTTTCAAATCTGTCTCGCCTCGCTTTGATGTTTATTAACCATAGAGAGGAGCTTACAAGAAAAGCCTATCTTTCTCTCTCTACCCTCTCTCACATTCTGAACATTCATGCAAATCATAAGCCACTCATGATATAATCACTACCTACTCCGTCTTCCTTTCTGGCTCTCTTTACATCCTTTGCTCCTTCCCTTCTTCAACCCCATTTCTCTCTTTCCTTCCATCTTTCTCATTCGTCTCATACCTTCTTCCTTTTATCTTCCGACACCCAAATCTCCCATTATTCACTCCATTTCTCGTTTTCTTGTCCGAACCTATTGAATCTTTGAATAATCTGAAGTTCTGAACCGGGTCTCTACCATTTTTATGTTCTCGAGCTCCCACTCTATGAGAACCGCGTTGCCTTTCCCAGATCTCTCCCTGCAGATCAGCCCACCGGTAATTCCCGATTGTGAAGTTAAGGATATGAGCTATGATGGGTGGATGAAGAAAACACTTCACAGCGATAGGACCTCCACTACTGACTCTGGTAGTAGTGGGAGTGACGTAACCTATGAGCAAGGAGGCTTCCTGCACTTTGAGAGGGGTTATGATCTTCGAGGGTCTGAACCCACGTTGAGTCTAGGGTTTGAAACGGCAGCTCTAAATCCTCCACTCATGCAACCACCAAGCAATCTTCACTACCTCCAGCAACCTCAAATCTATGGTCGTGATTTTAAAAGAAATTCAAGAATGGTTAATGGAGGAAAAAGATGCGTTAGAGCTCCTAGAATGAGATGGACCACAACTTTGCACGCCCATTTCGTTCACGCAGTGGAACTCCTTGGTGGCCATGAAAGTAAGAAAACATACCAAGGAAGATGATAGCCAAAAACATTTGTTTCATATTTGATTTTAATTTTTTCTGTTTTGTTTTGTTATTCACCATAGAAATAGATTAGACTTCTTTTTATATTTCTTCTCGCCAATCTAATTGATTGACAGGAGCAACACCTAAATCAGTATTGGAGTTAATGAATGTGAAGGATCTAACTCTAGCTCATGTAAAGAGTCACTTGCAGGTGAGATCACTAGAAGCAATTCCGATGCTTTTGCACTCATTGATATTATTATAATTTCTATGGTTTCTCATTACACTATTGTTATTCTTAGGGTTTTTTAACAGTTGGGTGGGGTAACAAGGGGTAAGGACAAAAGGGCATCTAAGGAGTAATCTTAGCAATGTAGACTTTTTGTTCTAAATTTTTTTTTTCTGTGCGTGTTCATGCAGATGTATAGAACAGTGAAGAGCACTGACAAAGGAGCAGGTATTTATTTGGATTTTCCCCCTGAAGAACCCTTCCTTTTTTTTTCTAATTTTGCCTCTCATTCTATTATTTTCCCCCTCTTTCTGCTCCAAAATTTTATAATCTGAGGGTGGTCAGATCTTCTATTAGTATTTTTTTTTATTGCTTCAGCAGATCTTCTATTAGTAGATCCACTGTTATTATCTACAAAATGGTTAAGATTGGACTGGCTTTTGTCCGTTAATTATTTGATGTGTGTCTGATAAAGCACAAGCAATGGCTGTATATCTGATGAATTGCTGCAGGCCAAGGGCAGAGCGAGATGGGTTTGATTCAAAGATCAGAAGCCGTCGAAGTGGAAGGTGGCATATCATCGTGTGAGAGATCTGATCCAAATCCTTTTTCTTATTCTCTCAACCCCTCCCCACCACCACCGAAATCTCCAAGGTGTGTGCACTATTATCACTTCTCCAGTTTTTATTTTTCCTATTTTCTCAATATGTTTCATGTCTGGCCTCCTCCTCCTCCACCCCATCATCATAACGTTCTGGCACGGCTACAAATCAAGCATATACAAACAGCATTATGTCTGTGATATTGTACAAACATATCTTAATGCCTATTATTTGGTGTAACGTTGCTTTGGTTTTTTTAAAATTGTATATTGGGAGACTGATGGATAGAAAATATAGTAGATAGGTTCTACTTTCAACAATATTTTGGGTGCATCGATATTGATGAAACTAGTCTCGTCTGGGTATGTATGGAGTTTACTTGCAAGAGCATTTAATGTTATTTGATGGCTGGAATTTGTTGACTCAAGGGACAGAAGGATTACACTTCAATTTCCAAGCTTTATAATTGATTAAAGACTAAAGACCCAGTTAATGTTGATCCATTTATTGAAACAAGTGATCTTGCGAAAGGAAAAACGTACGTATAGCTGCAGGCTGCAGCGTATCCTTGAGGTTTAATTAATATGTCGATAACCTGTCTTATCAAAGTTGAGAAATTTCTTCCTGAATGGAATTAATACGTCAGAACCAGCTTATACTTATGTCACTCACATTAAAATGAGTTGAGAGCTGCCATGGCACTACTCAACCCTCTGTCGCCCAAGTGAAGCTCTTACATACAAATCATGGAGATCAAACAATTAATAAACAAGTGTCCAGTGATAGTGTTTGATACTTGAATAAATTTTAATGGTTAATTATACACAGAATACATATAAAATGATAAAATCAATGCACATTAAGTTTTAGAGAATGTGTCACCCAGAAGTTTAAGAAAAAGTAATGGCGATCTCTCCATTTTGCTGAATATCTCACTTACTAGCTAGATATAGGATTTGTCGTTAATCAATCTCATTTGGAGATGCTTTTTTATTTCGTTTTCCTTTATAAATGCTTCCCCAGGAGTCGTTTAATTAACTAGACTGCCTCACTAAACTTTGGTGCAGAGGCTCATGGTCATCAATGGAGAAAAATGGTTGGAGCCCGTCAGCTAAAGAAAGTGGTTTAATGCCTTATCCTTTCGAACCAACGGACTTAACAAATGAGAAGAACCAGGTATGAATCGATTAATTGCTTCGACTTGCAAAATCACTGCTTTTTTATATATATTTATTCTTCCAACGTATACTGCAAATCAGTATGAACTCTTCCCATATATCTGACTCTACCTTCTCTCTTCGATATTTTCTTTTTGAATCTAAAATATAGGTGGTCGGAGCAAACCACTTTGCGTCGCAAAATGAAAGGGAGAAGTTGTATTTAAGCTCTTTGGAATCTTCAGATGTGCGGCCGAATCTAGAGTTCACCCTGGGAAGACAAAGTTGGCAAATGGACTACGCCGAACCTTCAAATGAATTAACCCTCCTCAAGTGTTAATTGTTTAAATACTATTAATACATATATTTTGTAATTTTGAGAGTGGAGAGAAAAGATAATTGATTTTCGAAATTAATGTTCATTCCCACTGATGATCAGCTTATGTTTATGTGGCCCTCAATGTGAATGTCGCCGTTAGGGGGGGGGGGGTGGTGGTGGTGGTGGGGTGGCAGTGTTCTTCATATAAATATTGTATAGCAGGAGAACAGAATCAGTGATGATGGAGAATTATGGTAATAAGGGACACCAAATTCAGGAGCTATAATCCGAAAAAGAACATCATATCACATTGATCTCATGGTGTTGGCCCCATATCAGAGACCAGAGAGTGCACATTTTCCCCGAACTTTCGAAAGGAAAAATTTTCTTGACCACTTTGGAGCTCTTCCTGAGACAGTTGTCAATTGTCTGGTCATCGTCATCATTCTGTTTGGCCATGGGTGATGACCAAAGCCAATAGGTAGTACATACATTGGACGATCCAGACCAATAATTGTACATGGGCCATATGTAGGACAAGAATGCCTGGTACCCAACATTTTGTTCTTCTTAGCTTTTCATCATCACTCTCTCTCTCTCTCTCTGACGATGGGTGGTGGGCAGACGCAGAGGTTGTAATTCAGAGCTAGCTCCTCAAGCGTGGAAGTGGAACCACAACCTGCAGACTGCAGCTGCGCCTAGCCATCTTGGCATGCATATATATGGGGTAGGCTCACGCAGAGCAAAGGGGATGTTGCAGTGTCATTTCATGGGGTTGTGCCTAGGTCCACTACTGTCAATGAACTTTCACCTATAAGGTACTTTGGGGAAAGGGGGGAAGGGGAGGGGAGACAATTGGCTTCTCAAGTGGGAACACTAATTATACATAGATGATTCATAAACAACCTTTCTTTCTGCATGCGGTGTACCAGGGACCTATGGGCTATGGGTAGGGCCGTACATGAGCCATGGCAGCTCTCAGTCTCTCAGTCTCTCACTACTCACTTCATTTCTGAAGGAGAGTTGGCGCCTAGGTTTTAGCTCATTTAGCTAAAGGAGATGATACAGTCCCCAATCCCAATTCTCAAGTGCATGAACTTTAATTTTGCTAGTTAAGCCAATTAAGCCAGATTTTAGCACTTGGGGCTCATCATGGGGGTGCTCCAGGCTCCAGCAGAGACAGGGCCGAGCCAGGGGAACCTCATCAGCATGTTCATTAATTACACTTGTACTTGTGGGCAACACCCAATATGTAGTAGTGGGTCCAGCAAGTAACATTTGAGTTTCAGCTTTCAATTCAGAAGATGCTTTAGAGTTCATCAAATTATATATGAGCAGTATTTATCAAATCCTTTAGGCTACATAATCATTTTGTGGAAGGGTGCTGGAAGATTTCAAACTGCTGAAAAAACTTTGACCCATTCCTGTTGAAACAAATGGGGCCTTAGGATATCATTGCAAGATCTCAAGTCATACAAAAAAATAAACCTTAATATTACGACATTTTTCATTTTTTGTATGTGGGTTGGGAATTAAGGAGGGAAATGGGGCGCTTTCATCCATCTCCTTATTTTTTATTTCCTGATGTTCGTGCCAGAAAATGCAGATTGTTATTAAGACTTAGGATCTGTTTGGTTTACAGTTGAAATGGAATCAAAATCTTTAAAATTGGTCTATTCCTATAGTCTGTTTGGTTCAGAAAAGAATCGATTGAATGGAAATTATTAGAATCAGCTGGAATGAGATTTCATTCCCAAAAGGAGGGGAGGGAATGACCATTCCCTTAAACGAGGGTGGTGGAATGAGAATGAAATTCCAATTCTGCCCAAATCAAACAGTCCCTCAATTTCAGTTGAGAGGGTGATTACATTCTGATGAATGACATGGTGCCGATTTGTTTTAGACCTGACAAAAAGTTGTTTTGTAAAGAATTAAGAGGTGTTCACTAACATGAATGGTTTTGTTTTGCAAAGAATTGTTTTTACTGAATGATAATTAGACTTGACAAAAAGTTGGCCCAACCTACGAACTTGACCCAATCCAACCCGAAAAAACAGGGTTAGGGTCTCATATCTAGCTACCTGAATCCCGACCCAAGCCAACCCAAAATAACAGGGTTAGGGTCTTATATCTAGCTACCTGAATCCTGACCCAATCCAATCCGAAAAAAAACTGGGTTGGGTTGGGTTGGGTCATGAGTCAACCCACTGACCCGATTATTAGATCTAATTGGGACTATTTGTGTATTCTTAAAAGATTTCTCTCTTTCATTTTTACTATTAGCTTTTACTCTTTATCGTTTACTCTTTGAATTGTTGAATGTTCAAGTTTTTTTATTTTTTTATTTTATGTTTGGAATTTTTAAGATTAATTCCTTTAATTTTGATATTTTTCATGTATTTTTTCTTTATCTTATAAAATTTATGTTAGTTTTAGGGATGACCCAAATTGACCCATGGGTCAACCCTAACCTGAACATTTAGAGTTTGAGTCTAACATTTGCTAACCCAACCCGAAATTCAATCCAATTCGGCCCGAAATCAATCCACAGTGTGTTGACCCAACCCAATCCAAACCCGACCCAACCAACCCAATTGTCAAGTCTAATGATAATTGTTTTGTTAAAAAAAACAAAACCATTTACATTGGCAAACGCCCCCTTCCACTTAATCTAGTAAAAGATCTCACTCATTCCATGAAGGACACAAGAGCACCCTATTGATTTAGGGTAGAGCTACGGTTTTTATTTTTTTAGAGGTCAAAAGCTAATAAACAGGGACAGAGCGTCAAATTGGTCTATTATATTAATAACATAGGTGGGGATTAAATCTCCTTTAATCTGTTCTGCCACTATACTACTATATATAGACACATAAGTAAGTTATATTAATAACGCTTAATTATTTTTTCAAGTTGATATACAAATTAAATATGTGTGCTTTGGTGTGGAGTATAAGGATAAAGTAGTCCTAGATTGTGGATGGTACCTTGGAATAGTCTTTAGAGACCACCTAGAGGAGTTTTTTTGACGAGCCATTAGAGAAGAGAATTGGATCCTAAGATCACACAAGCTAAGACCTTCAAAGAGGGCCTTCAAATAGTGAGATCTTTGAATATTGAGCACATTAATATTGAAGGAGATGCATTGAAGGGATCTTTTGCAAGGGTTCTATCATGTCTACTTCTCATTCATCCCTCATGCAGGAATGACATATATAGCAGTATCTATGTACAAAGAGTTGGACTTGGCCAAATTTCAGTTCAAATTAAAAACAAATATGGAGACTGTTCAGTCACAGGTTTTCAATTCAATTTTGTAATCAATTTCATCGTAGGATCAAATAGAGTTGGATTTAGAATTCTTTAGGCAAAGCTGTGGCCAATTCTTCTTAAGGGTGTAGCTTGACTACAGGATTCTAAAGAAGGTTAAGTAAACTATTAGCTTTTCTTTCTCTAATCACTTTAGTGGATTCCTTACAGACTTTACAGTGGCGAGCTTCTTTTCGGGTTCTCTCTTGCGTCTCTCTCCTCGATCTCATTTCTGGGATTTTTTTTTTCCAATATCAAGTTAATTGGTATCAGAGCATTGTTCCATTTTTTGGAGTTCAAAGCTTGCAGTTTGAAGCCTCGAGTCATGATGAGTCCCATATCATGATTCAGAGGATGAACATTCTCATGAAGATGAAAAAGAGAAGCAATGTCTAGAACACTATGACACCTAGGCCATTTCGCTTTTTGAATAGTTACTTACCTGAGTAAATGCAGTTATTTGGGTAAGTTTTTTCTAGGAAACACTTACCCGGGTAAGTGCATTTACCCATGTTCTTTAATTTCTCATGTAAATAAGATAATGATCATTTTAGCCATAAAAATCCATTATTAAAAAGAGTATTTTTGTCCCATTCAAGTATTGGTAACTTCTCCCTAGGTGGGAAATTTATTTACCCCTTTAGAAGATGGGTATCAACAATAAACTTTCTCTCATCCCCACATAAATCTGAAAAAATAACATGTGATTCTTAGTCAATGGGAACCAAAATCCAAAAAAAGAACACCCCCTTAAAACAAATATTTCAAAGTCAACATTCAAGAAAAATGATGCAACTAGTTAAAGCCCCAACCAAATTCCTCTTGTCCAAACAAGATTAGAATCTTTTGTCATTCGTTGGAACCTGAATGCAACACATGTAGAAGATGATGAATGACTCCAAAAAAGTATTTTTTTCATACACGATGCACTTCTCATGGAAAGATGTGCCACATTATTATAAGTTATACAAATGTGGTGGCTACATGTATGGTAGAGAAGCTAACTCTGAAGACAGAGAAACACCAACATCCATACAAACTCTCTTCGCTTCATAAAAAAAATGAGGTACAAGTAGATAAACAATGTTTAATTCAATTTTCCATTGGTAAGAATTACAAGGATGAAGTGAAGTGTAATATTGTTCCTATGGATGCTCGTTATTTACCTCTTGGACGCCCATGGCAATATGATAGAAGGATTAGTCATGATAGGTTCAAAAATACTTGCATTTTTTTCAAGGATGCAATAAAGATTATCTTGGGCAAGGATTTAAATATCGATATGATACGTCTGATTCGATATGGGGTTTATTGTATCGGTATCGGCCAAAAGGGATATGGGATACACTACGACACCCGTATCCCCTAAATCACTCGTATCGAAGCGATATGCATTCGTATCGGCCGATACACACCAATATAGAATGATACAGATCAACGTGTTTCTCGTGCGTTTGTTTATAAATAATGCTATTGGGGTGTTTCAAACACTAATCACCCATTGTTAAAGCTTTATCCATGCCCTTTGATGAGGGCAGATTTGGCCCTCCAGTGAAATTGCGACACGTGGCACCTCGTGACAACTAGGCGACACCCAGGTAACAACTTACCAAGTTGGTGTCCCGCCGGGGCACCGACCTGGCCGGCCTGGCATGGCCTGGCGCGCCAGCCTGGCGCGCGGC